ACCGAATGAACCAGCAATCCGAGAGAGAGAGAGAGGTCACAGTTTTCTCCCAATGCATCAGCCTTTCATGAAGTCTGAGGTGTCACTCTACGTTGGCCTAGAAGTCCTGATGCCGAGTGGATGGTGCCAAAATGCGGCATATCACGATAAATAAACACCAGTTGTAACTTAAAAGAACACCAAAAAGATTATAAAATATATATATAAAAAAGGATAAATAAACACCTAACATTTCACGACAGAACCAGTCAATAATTTTGCACAATTACTTGTTTATGAGTGAAATAACATTTCATCAAACACTTAGGAATACGAATGTATCATCTCTTACAATGTCACGGCACATCATATGAGACCGGATCGTCTTGTGGTCCGACCCGAGTTAGGTTGCCTCAACCTCGTCATCGATTTTGATCGAGAAAAATCCAGTGGAATTACGAGTTCACATACGTTTCTACCCTTTTTATACCTATTACAACGACGTGCAGGGTCCCACTCAAATCGTCCAGTCATCAAATGAGTAGTTGACGATAACAGACCCAACTGGATAGAGTTTCACCCATTACGGATCTATCTCTCTCTCGAAAAATCCAATGGAATTATGGGTCAACAGAGACTGCTACCCTTGACATACCTGGGATGGAAGGAATCCGGGTCCCAGAAAGTCATCCAGTAGTCTGATGAGTAGTTGTTGACATCAGACGCAACTCGCGATAGAGTTTGAACTAGACCCGAACTCCCTCTCTCTCTCTCTCTCTCTCTCTCTCTCGATCCCTCGATCGAGAACAGCCAGCCATTTGCGGCGCTGGCCACCGCACCTGGAAATGGCGAAGCGGCTGCTCCTTCACCTTGGTACGCTCTTCTTCTCGCGTTCTCTTCGTTGTTCTCCGGCTGCCTCTTGGTTTCTTTCAAACCTGAGATCAGGAAAGGGGTTTTATAGTTATTGGGGGATATCTTACTCCCTTCGCTGTCACTTTCTGGTGCAAAGGCGATTTCTTTATTGGTAATCCCCAATTGCGCGTCCGATTCAAGGTGAACTAAAGATGAAAGAAAATTGGTGTTTTTACCGCTTATTCCCCCGATTCGTTTACAATTTTGACCGTGCGGATGCCAAGTTTCTTTGGTGCTCCCCTTTTGCTTCTCGCGTGCTTATTGTGTGTTCCTTCTTGGTAATTTTAGCTTTCTTTTTTCGGCGAGATATGCATTGAGATTTAGGGCTTCAATTAGCTTTAATTGTAGTCCGATTCAAATTTGATGATGACGATGGTAAAACTTGCAATTTTTATTAGACGGAAAAGAAAAAGATTTTGCTTACAAGGCCTCAAGAACTCTCTGATTTCTTCTAAATTTGATTTTTTTCATGGAAATGAAAAGGAGATCATAATTGAAGAAGAACTCCAATGTCCACCTTCGCTACCATGAGTGATCTGCATCTAATTGTATTTTCTTTCTTGCTCATCTACATGGTGGAAATACCAATGAGAAAAAAGGGTTTCAAATATTGTAAATGAGTCTTTATTAGGTGCTTCGTCTTGTTCATGTAAAGATTTGATCTTTTTTTCTGGTCCCTTTCTTCTCTGTAATTTCTTTTCCCTTCCAGATTCTAGCATACGCTCTATGAGAAACCAGGATTCGTACCTGCAACTTGTATCCGGTGTTCTAAACCGATGCCTTTCGCAACACTCCGAAGAGGAGGAATCGGAGAAAGTGCGGAATACTAACTTAAGTAAGGCTGAAACTTTACCGCATATTAAAGATGCCCAGCATGACGAGCCTGGTAGCTATGATAGTGGTAGAGATAGTTCTGATGATGATGATGGATGGAAGCGGAAACTTGAAGTTGCTTGGCTCTCCAAAGCTCTTGATCCAGCGTTGCAGTTGTATAAGTGGGCATCTTCTGCAGGTTCTTTTATTTTTTGCTTGATTTCTTATCTTCAATTTGTGCCGTTAGATCTCTGACTTTCAGAATAGTCAACTAAAGTTTTTGTTGATAATTTGCTGTCTCCTCTACTCTTAAAATCTCTGTAGTGTTCTTTATGTTTTGCCAGAAATGACTTTTATAATTTGCAATTTTATAATCAACTGCAGGTATTTATCCAAAATTTTTTGCTTGTTAGTTCATTGCCAGTATTTACATATTCAGACATCAGACTAAGGATCTGAAGGATTCTTTATAACAATGGTGCTTGACTTGCAGCAGGTAGCAACGAGAAGCAGAGTACACCCTTTGGCACTAGGTCTTTCAGTGAGATTCTTATGAGTATTCAGCGAAGTAAAGTTGGCATTCAGGACTGGAGCCTCAGCGACTTAACAGTTGGTCTTTATCTTATTTACCTCAGCCAAGCTTCGTCTAAGAAGATTGAGGAGTTCAAGGGTGTTCAGATCTTTTCAGATGCTATAGTAATTTCTTGCCTATTCTCTCACCAAAAGATGTCATTGACAATTGACACTATATACTTTTTTTTTTAATGAAAGCACTGAAATCAGAATTATTGAAGCAAATGGCGGCGTTTTTATAATTGGAGATGTACTTTTCCTATATTATTTCCTGGAAGACCTTATCCTTGTTTGCTGTTTGAAGCCAGTACCAACCAGACAAGGCTTTATGTCTATGACCAAGTTAAAATGTCGACTGCAGTAGAGTTTTTTTGAAAAAACTTGGAAGTCTTAATACAGGAGTTTGCATTTTTACAATCCAAACTCATTTTGGATGCTTCTATCTGCTGGCATCCTTTACAAGTTGGACAGATTATGTTATCTGTTTTGACATTGATATATTTTTTTTTGCTATCTTTTCTTTTTTCATATTGACACTTTTTTTTGCCACTTTACTAAAGGAAATTCATAGGTAGCATAAGTGAACTTAAGCAGAGTCCTTTTAGTAGGAGGTGAGTTTGGATGTTTATTGTGGCAGTCTCAGAACTCATGACATCCCCTAGAATAGTCAATATGAGAGCGTAAGTTATTGATACATCAGAAGAATACTTTCTAGAGGAGTATGATATCTATTCCCTGAACATTGTCTTTGGGGGCCTAGACAAGTATCAATAAGTAGGAATGTAGGATTTTTGAGAACTTTGCTCTTGTCAATGCCCTTTAAGCATTCTCTGAACGTGTCCAACTTAGATGAAAGACCCAAATATTTATAAGTATTTAACAAGTGACTTCTGTGTCAGGCTAAGGATTTAGCTTTCTCCAGTAGATAATCTGGAGATATTACATCTTTTTTACCTACATTCTTTTGCAGAGAATATGGTGCTGCCCTCTATGCATCTTCACCATGGTGCCAGTTTAATGTCCCTGGATTGTTGTTGGGAACTAGTTTTTTAAGTAAATGTTTTCTTGAAATTATTAGTTATCTAATTCATGTCAGTTAGAATTTTTTATTCACTATCTCCATCACCTCACAACATGAAATTTCTGTTTGTACAAGGATTCATCGGAGTATACTTCTGTGTGATAACATGAATATGTGTATCTTCTTTCACGTTGAGAGATCATTGACTTATCCAGGGTTCTTAAATGTTTTTTTTTCTCAACTTGATTAAAAACATGTATGTTTATTCTGTGGGTTATGGATGTATTTTATAGAACTTCTAGTAAACTCAACCTAAATTTTGTCTAATTTCTTATATTCTAGTGACCTATGAACTCGTGTTTAATTGAAAAATTCAATTGGTGAACCCTAGAAGCTCTTGTGTGTCTAAGTAACTATAACTGAGCTCTTCTTTTAGAGAATATTTGTAGGCATTTTTATAATGATTCTGACTTCCACAATCTGGCATTTCCCAGGTTCAAGAGCTTATCTATTATCTTGAGCTAGCAAAGGGTTCTTATAAAGACAATGCTACTGCTCTTGCACGGCATAGCATGCTTCGAGAGAGGAACATTGTGAAGTTCATTAAAACTTCAAGTCTACTGAGGCCTGGTTACTACATTGGAATCGACACACGCAACAAACAGGTTATTTTTGGGATTCGTGGAACTCATAATGTCTATGACCTTATTACTGATATAGTTTCTTCAAGCAATCAAGAAGTGTCATTTGAAGGTTTCTCCACCCACTTTGGAACAGCTGAAGCTGCTCGTTGGTATCTTCATCACGAGTTAGGCACTGTTCGAAAACTGCTGGGAAAGCACAAGGTGGGTAAAAGATTTGCTATAATTACCGTATAAGTTGCTTTATATGTTTAATTCTGTTTATTTCCTTTATGTTAGTTGCTTCTGCTAACTCTGTAACTACTTTCGTCACTGGCAATATTTTTTGTTTCCACAGGATTATAAGTTAAGGCTGGTTGGGCATTCCCTTGGTGGTGCAGCAGCTGCTTTACTTGCAATAATGTTGCGGAAACAAGCAGCGGACAAGTTGGGATTTGATCCTGACATAGTATCTGCTGTTGGATTTGGAACTCCACCTTGTGTCTCAAAAGAACTGGCTGAAAGCTGTGCCAGCTATGTTACTACAGTTGTGTTACAGGTTAGCATTAGACAACAACATTTGTATGTTGTGTAATTTTGTTGATGTTGTAGTTTCCTGTTGATGCATGGCCCTCTTTTTGTTTACACCTTTTCTTCTTTCTTTTGCAGGATGATATAATTCCTAGGTTGAGTATAGTTTCATTGACAAGATTGCGAAATGAAATTCTGGAAGCCGATTGGTAAGTATCACAAAGTATTGGCATTGTTTTAAGACTTTTAAACATCAGACCACATTCTTATTTGTGTCATCAGGACACAAGGGATAATGACTGTGAGATATTGGGTATTGGAGTCATTGCTGGGTTGGGCTGAGTCAAATCTGCCCCCCACTGTTTTTAATCCCCTCCAATTGCAGAAAAGACATCCTCTTGAATCAATGTCTTTTTGTTAATTGTTGTGGCTCACAAAGTAGATTTTGAATGTGAGTCTTTGAGAAGTCACTTATATGATATATATGCCAAAAAAATGTGTTGCTTGTGGAATGCACTGAATCGTTGTTTATACTTTATAGAACATACAAGTAATCTTAAGTTCTCCATGAGGTTCTCTTATTTTCTTCAATTTTTTAGCTTATTGTTCTGATATGCTTATCTGTTTTAGTTATTTCATAACAATTTCAGGATGAGCGTCCTAGGGAAGGAAGACTGGAAGGGGATTGTAGACTTGGTTACAAATGCTAAACAAGTTGTCTCTTCAGTGCAAGATGTGGCTAGGAAAGTTACTGATTTTGCTAAGCTTAGGAGCACATCAAATTCTTCTGGTATGCTTCTCAAGGATATTGTGATATTGGCACTGTGCTAAAAATCTCACTGATATCATATCAAAATATCTACATAAATTGCATGGAATTTTGTTCTATGAAGAGCTATTTCAACTCTGCCTAGTAAAAAATCTTTCTAATTGGTCATTTTAGCTAAATTCTATGATTAACTTTTAGATGCAACTTCTGGAAGAGTTTTCTTAAATTGATATATGTAGGTAATAGCGGTTGATCTAAATAATTATTAATACCTTAGATGTGCATTTTCCACATTTGAGACTTTTTATTGTATGCATGTTAGGGAAATGCCATAGCCAATATATGTCATGTAATAACCAACAGAAACTTTTATAGCAGTCGAATTTTATGAATTTAGAATGGTCACTAGTAGTGTAGGATTAAAAGTAGTGCTTCTTTCATATAACTGGGTTAGGAACCACTAACAATGTGGAATACGTAATGTGAAGATCTGACCTTGACTATGCTGAAATGATCTTGATGGTTAATTTTGGTGATTTTGATTGCATTTGTCAAATCATTTATGCTTCCACTATATGTTTCATTGATGACCATTTGTTGGATACCCTGGCCATTTTGGTCTATTCTCTCTCTCTCTCTCTCTCTCAGCTGTCGCTGCCGCGGCCCCCCCACACCCCAACCCACCAACCACACACAACACACCAACACCCCCCCCCCCCCCCGCCCCCACCCAAACCCCATTTTCTTTTTATGGTTACCTTATTCATCTCTAAAGTCTCCTCCAACAGCATCAGACACTTTTGATGCATGCTGCAGCTGAGGTATGTTTCAGCTGGTTACCTTATTCATCTAAAGTCTCCTCCAACAGCATCATACCTTGTTCATCTAAAGTCTCCTCCAGCTTAGATAACTGTGACATTCTGAGGAATTGATCAATTGGCTCTGTATGGAGAGTGGCCTTTTTAATCACACTCCACTCCTGATCTACTTATTGATCTTGAAGATATGTTTCAGGTGTTGCTGCTCGGCCATGACTCTTAAGCTTTATTAGGTTCAATCATCAAAATTTACCAAGGTTGGATGTGTTAAGATAGTTCATTGTTAGCATGTAATATCCTGTTTCCAGGCACAACCTGGGGACTTCAGTGTTTATTTCAGTTGTTTCTTGGCTTTTGCAAACATACAGCATTTGATCTGTGAATGAATGATTGGTGAAACATCCTTTGACACGACACCTTTATGAGCAAGCTTTCTAGGGCAATATCTCTACAGTCTCTGCAAACTGGTGAAATCTTATGCACTACTTGTCTCCACAATAACGACAACAACAACAAAGTCATAAAATTTCAACTATTTGGGGTTGGCTACATGGATCATCTTCATGAGCTACATAAATCATTGCATCTGTGTCCTCCCAGCCTATGAGCTTGATGACAGACTAATCATTTCTTCATATGGAATCATTGTGTCTGTAATTCTGTGTGACAAGTAATTTATAAATGAGTATGCTGTATATATCTTTACGGTAAGGATGCATGAAGAGACCTATGAATATGTGGATTATGATGCGGCTTTCTCTTGTTGTAGAAGCAATCCAAGGAAAAGATTCTGTTGCTTCAATGAAGTTCAACACAGATGCCCGAGCAATTGTTGAACAACAGGAAGCTCTTCCGGAGGAGCTCTTTGTACCAGGAACCATTTATTACCTCAAGCGTAATGTTGATATTGATGGCTGCAAGAAAAGTGAATCATATTCACTTTGGGAGAGGCATCCAGATCAAAATTTCCTTAGGATAATGATTTCTGGCAATTTGATCTCTGACCATAGATGCGATAGCCATTATTACGCCCTAAGGGATGTGCTCAAAAGCCTGCCAATCTCTGGTGATTGAAACATGTTCTGCCTTTTGGCAGAAATCTAAAGATGTGATTGGGCTGCGGTACACAAAAGGGCTCCTTTGATATCCAAGCCATAGGTTTTTGACCATTATGTAATTAGATACTTGATCTCCATGCTGAATTTTTTTAGTGTATGGAATCCCCAAATAACTTATGATTTCAGTGTATCTGCATTGTTTTCTATGTATAGATGGCAGAAATAAATTTGTAGAAATTTGCTTTTATGCATTTTATCTGGTTTTTGCAAGCCTTTTTTTTTTCAGATATGGTTACAACAATGATAAATCAAGTATTTGGTTGTATGAAGAATTCATGTCAAATTATTGTTCCTTTGGAATAAGCAAGTTCATGATGCAGTAGTTTTGTTGTATGATCTGGTCACCAGGCAACGCAATCAAGGTATTCAATGCATATTCGTGATCCTTTTTAGAGTTATTTATCATTTTTTTTGTGTTTTTGAGTGTTTTCTCATATGTAATTGATCTCATATTTACTTTTGACAGGGTTTTGATTTGCTATTTTTTCTTTATAAAATGTGAAATGTTTTCTCATATTTTGATTTGCTTTACTTTTAGTCTCACTCCGAGTTCTCTACCTCAACAAACAAACAAGCAAGCAAACGACTGACATCCTCATCATGCATCTCTCCCACCTTCGAAGGGGCTTTTTCTACTGCATGCATCGACGCTATATGCTTCGTCGAGGGGTCCAGCGCTTGGAAGAACTGTCTCCGACTCACTCGCTACGGCCGCATCTGATCTATATACGAACACCACGATCGATTGGACGTGACAGCTAACCCATTGCCTCATGTCCTGTATCCATCAGTCACCGCTGGTCTTCTGGCCATCGTTGGCCCCCGTGCATGGCAATTCTCGGAGAAAGATGCATGGCGGTGTAAACCGCCGTCTGCATGAAGTCGGCACCACCTGTTCTGCATCGACTACTACTAGTTCATGCATTAACCCTCGCCCGGAGGAACTGATCTCATGCTTGGACGTTCATGACAACGACGAGAGAGGGATTGTCGCAGAAAGACAAAGCCTAAAGCCTGGAATCTGGTCATCATGTGGAAAGAAACATCCATGGTGGCGCCCCCTCACGTGACCTCGCTGTCGGTTTGACCAGTCTCATGAGGGTACTTTCACGAGGTTTCTCTTCCTGCAACTGTTCCAAGAAATGGCAACGACGATTGCACAGGAATTCGAGTTCACGCACGCTCTCTCGGCATCCGGATCCTGTTCTTCCACGGCAGATTCAGGGTCGCGTTCGAGGTGCACAGAACCAAAGCAAATCATTGATGATTAATAACGATGATGATGAGCTCTAATTATTTGGGCATCTCCTCCTAATGATACGAACTGCGCGCCTAATCGTGAGCTCCAAAGGGCAGGCGTTGGATTCTTTACTACCGTCTCTTCTTGGGGTTGTCTCCCCTGTTCCCAACCCTCCACCCCCACTAACCCTGGTTTCTCACGCCGTTGCCGCGAGAGCCCTGTGGCTGCCATCATTCACTGTCCTCCATTGCCGCACCACACGCTTGCGACGTGGTGGGGCTTCGATTTGACAGGTTCCGGTGATCTCATCCTTGTGCCCTTGTGTTGGGCGCATGCGGGGTGAATCCCCAGGCTTCCAGCACTGTCTCCTGCTCTCTCTCTCTCTCTCTCTCTCTCTCTCCATGCATATTACCCATAGAGCCTCGAACAAATGCCAAATCGTCTTTCTCCGACTGGAAGTAGTATTAAATTACATAGCAGAACGAGTTGTGGCCACGAAGATGTTTTCACTAGTAATGGTGGGTGTCATTGTAGAAACACGAAAGAAATGTGGGCTTTGGCTGTACCTTTTCTTCTGGAGATCTTACAATAATACCACGCGAACCATTGGCATTACTGTTCATAGTGAGCCTTCAAGAAGTAATCCTTTGGAGATCAAAGAACAAAGGCCCATTGTTAAGGTCGAGTCGTATCTCACAGCCTAACATGAAAGGCAAAGGTAGAGGCATGCTTTCTTTCTCACCTCTCTCCACGGCAGGCATCTCCAGAGAAACAGTTCTCTTTCTCCGAGTGCTGTTGGTGTGCTTCCTCTGCTCGCATGCAGTCTGGCCAGATGGCTTGGCCTTCACTCGGAAAAAAGAAATGGTATTGTGTTGGCCGTCACAGAATCAGCCATACCTCCATGGCTCAGTGGCAAACAAGCTTGGATGAACAGAACAATGGCAACCATAATATAATGAGCTGCAGGTAGATGATAATGCCATGACGACAGACGTGAATAATTATTATATGTCCTGATAATTATTTCAAAGCAAAATCGGCATATCCTATCATCCCTCTCATCAATTCCTGATGAGAGTCTCCTGTTTGATGACAGGAAAAGAAAGATCAGGTGTGGTCATAATCAGTAGCTTCACGATCGAGCTGAACATGGTAAATCAAAGAACCGAAAGATTTCAAGAACCAGTATCGCTTGCCACAAAATGAGTCCAAGAAATGATAGGACGCTGTGAGGAATGCACAATGCACTGTTCGGAATGTAATGTCACTGCAGTTCTCTCATGTTCATGTCTTTTGGCTGTGTTCATCACAAGAGTCTTTGGCTATAGATCACGAGTAACACGACCGAAGGTAAACATTGCCTTTCGGCCGTGAGCAGAAGAAACGAGAAGAATTGGTGCCGAAGCAAACCGGAACGGGGTGGGTCATCTCGAGCCACTTCTGTCGTCTAAGGAATCGAAAGGGAGACGAGACGAAACGAAGGCCCAGCCGTAGTATAATAATGGCTGCTGCTCGCCATTAACCAGACCGACGCAAATAACCTATTTGGTATTGTAGTGTGATCCGCTCCGCTCTTTTCTGGTGCTTATAAGAAGCTGGCGATCCTCCGCGGAGGCTGAGATCAAAGCGATCGGCAACTCCATCGTCATCATCATCGTCACCATCATCATCATCATCATCCGAGATGACAGGGTTCGGCTCTCCCTGCGGCGCCTGCAAGTTCCTGAGGAGGAAGTGCGTGAGAGGGTGCGTGTTCGCCCCCTACTTCTGCCATGAACAAGGAGCCGCGCACTTCGCCGCCATCCACAAGGTGTTCGGGGCGAGCAACGCGTCCAAGCTCCTCCTGCAACTGCCGGTCTCCGACCGGCCCGAGGCGGCGCTCACCATCTCCTACGAGGCCCAAGCCCGGCTGCAGGACCCCGTCTACGGTTGCGTCTCCCACATCTTCGCTCTCCAGCAACAGGTGAGCAACAGCACTCGGAATTGCCGCTGCTTCCTCCTCGACACAAATCGTGATCCTCTGTTTCGTCTCGTAGATTCTGACTCTGGAAGCACAGTTAGCTTCTTTGAAGGCTCAAACTGCCCGAGGCTTCGGCAACGAAGACGAGTTCAGTGAGAAGCTCCCACGTCACCGACAAGGGGATAGCTTTCTTCGACCTTTGGGATCAGACGCCGCCACGAATCCCCAACTCATGCCGTACCCCGACGACGCGGTTCTGTCTTCTCAACAGTGTCACCATCACCACTCCTCGTACGTGACCGACGACGGCTCCTCCTGCGCCATGGCCAACTCGCTCGACGTGCAGGATAACGCATGGAGGCCGGCGTGTCATGACATGGAGGAGCTTCTCCAGTCGGTGGCATTTGGTCACCTGAATTGTGCATGAGCAGAAGCATCAGCAGCAGCAGAAGAAGGAGACCCTCGATCGTCGGCATCCATCCACACAAATTTTGTGCCTCGAAACTCTCCACGAGTTCGCTGCAGCAGCATTTCTTGGTCCTATCTATGTACATGTGAGACCTGACGAGGAGGCATGGCGATGTACTCTTCAAGCTCATGTTGTCTTCGTAATGGAGAGCCATGGAGCTCCAAGTTATTTGAATACTGCATGCAGAACAGAACAAACAAGGAATCTACCAAAGACGACAAGCATCAAATGCTCATAATGGTGGAAATGAGTTCCAAGTTCTATGGCACTTTTATTGATAGATTAAATTAGAATTGGTAGATTCATTCACAAGCTTGAAATACTCAGTTCTTTTGAAGCTCTCTTCTAAGGGGTCTGCCATCAATCAATATTAGGATCGATACAAAATTATTAGTCCATCTAACTCATCAATTAATTAGACATAATTAAAATAGATAAATAAAAATTTTAATTATTGAAAATAATTATCCTAATTGGCTTTGAGATGTAGTTTGGTGGGGATATATAATCAACATCCATCACTGTCTACCTATTAACAAAAAAAGAAAGAAGAGAAACAAGTAGATGATACCATAGAGGATAATCCACATATATGAAATATACATCCTATAAGAATTGATATTTGATAAAAATAAATTTATCATTTAATTATTACATTAATTTTTATATATAAGCAATCAAAGAAACTCACAATATCACTGAGAGAAAGTTGGTGGGGGGCAGATAATTAACATACCTACATTTTAATAAAACAATATCAAAGAGAATTAAGATAATAAATAGATGACACTACAGAGGATGATCTACATTTACCTCCTAAAAAATTGATGTTGACATAATGACATTTGTTGTTCAATTATTTGCATTAACTTATATATATGTTAGACCCACTATGTGGTGTAGTTATTAGCATCAAATTTATCATATCTTGCAGCTACATGTAAGATTTGGATGCACAAACTTCACCATTCAAAAAGATAGAAGATATGATGATTACTTTAAGAGTTAGTAATCTCAATAGTTTTTTTTTTTTAAATGTATGTGGAGCTGAAAACCCAAGTGATGCAAAAAGTTAGCCTCAACTATATCTATAATCACTAATCTAATAAAATGATGTGAAATAGAATGTCTTGGATTTCTTTTAGATCATGACCGGTCATGTTTTTGACGGCATTCGTTGGATTTGCCCCTCTTGTCTTCTTCAATCATTGCTAGTGATGATCTCATTGATCCCTTTCTTGATATTCGATGGCTCCATATACGATGACTTCTTTATTTGTCATAACTTCGTCAAATGTAAATGTTCCTTCATTTGTTACGGCGTTGTTGGCTTTTGAAATCTTAGTAGCTTCCTTAGATCCATTGCGCACCTCGTGCCAGAATCTTGATGGTGTCCGTCTTTTTTGTGACTTCTAAGGTATATTTCTGATAAGTGACATTCACAAAAATAAGTTATTTCTTA